AAAGAGTTCTTATTTTCTTTATTGTGTTTTGTGAGGTATGGAGGAGGTGTGAAAGGCTATAGCCACTTCTTAATTTCAGACACGGTAGGTAGGTCTTTAAAATTCTTGAGTGTCTTGACATTGATATAGTAAATGGGGATTGACAGAGTTAGGCAATCTAGGGGGAAAGGATTTTTAAGTCCAACTGTACAAAGCTTAAAAAAATCTAAAATTTTCAGGCCTTCTGTGAATTTAACGAAGTAGTTTTTCTCACTCGTACAGCAAGCTACCTGTAATAGATATTAATTATATATTTAGGTTAGTTAAAACCTTTATTTGGTTCAGTCCTTACTAGTGGTTTAAAAGCTGTAAGTTTTCATAGGGTTGATATTTTGTCATGTATGTGTTCAATATGTTCATTGACAAAATAGTGGTAATCTGTCGTGGTGACTTTAGCGTTAGCATTGTACACATTTTTAGGCAGCAAAATAAATGTGTGTATGTGCAATCCTCCTCTTTTTGTATATAATAAATATATAATACAATCAATAATAGGAAAACACAATGGGAAACTTTTTATTCATACATGCTTCCATTCTTACAAGTGATTGTGCAAAAACAAAAAAAAACCCTAACTTCCATAACTGTTTTTTCCCTTCTGGACAGAAATTTTCCTTGTCTGGTCCCATTTTAAAGATAAAGTACATTTGAGAAGTTTTATGCAAAGATGGTTAAGAATTCTTGAGTTCCAAGGCAATGAATAAAGTACATATTTTTCATTATTTAAAGCTGTGACTTTTTTTTAACAGCTTTCATGGTTCTGCAGGAGGGCAGAGCAAAACTTTGTTGTTTGAATAGAAGGTTGGATGTGTTCTTCATGATCATAAATACTTTCTCGTTTAGTAAAATGATAATTTTTTATAAAGAATACTTTCTGCATCAGAGGAACTTTATATAGTAACTTATTTTAACAGTTTCCAATGTTTCATTGGCACTGCTAATGTACATAATAACACCTTGTTTCATTCAATGTACTAGTCTTCCTAGAGGTCTGAACAAGTCCTGCCTCATTCAGTTTAAAAATATCCAGTCATCTTGCTGAAGAATTGCTAGACTTTCAGGGTGAGAATTATTATTTTTTGCCTGTCACTTTCCTTAAAAAAAAAAAAAAAAAAAAAAGGATTGAGGCAATTTGGGGAAACAGATCTGCTAAAAGAATACTATTAAGTGTTAAAGTGGAAGACTGAGCTGAGGTAATACTAGTGTTTAAGGCTGTCCATTTAGCCATAATTTTGCCCCTTTATATATGTGCATTAGGGCACAGTCTTCATTTAAGTGAATGCTGCTGACTTGTGAAAAACTGGAACTAGTACAAGTGAAAGCCATTGTGGAATTATTTGCTAGATGGTACCAGGAGTTTTTTCTCACGAATAGTAGGCAGTTGGGGAAAATTAGCCTCTTTTGAACACCGCAGGAAGTCTGTGAGAGTTTTTCCCTCATACTTTGTGAAATGCCCAGTCTCCATCAATTATCTGCTTTGTGAGCTAGGCAGGCACTGAAAGAGGCTAATAAAGAAATTTCCCCCATGTAGACAGAGGAAAAACAGGAGTTTTGGTGCCCCTAATGAGGTTTGAAGAGTTGCACCACTGTTTGGCTCCAGAGGTATCTAACTTTGGATATCTAACTACTGTAATTAATAATGGCAATACTTATGCAGCCTTAGCTATAGAAGTACTATTACTTGTAGTCTTTCCCCTTCTGGAGTCCCCTGTGGTTCAGTGGTAGAAAGCTTGCTTGCCATACAGGAGACATGGGTTCAATTCTCAGATGCTTCTACAACTACAGCTATGGAGGCACCAAACATCTGGACTGTCTGGCCTTTGGATTCTGTCTCAATGGTCTAAAGGGGGGATGGAAGGCCTGGACAGCCTCCACTCCTCCATACTCCTGTGTGGGCTAATGTGTTGAAGGTGTGGGTGACCTCTCCTGCATACACCATGATCTGGAAAGAGCAATGGTTACCAAACCAATCCTTCCCCCTGTCAAATGAGACACTTCACTTGTGAGACCAAATATGCAGGGCACAGAGGAAGAGAAGAATAATTACTTAAACAGTCATTTAAACTGAGTATTTTAATCTCGGAAGCCACCCAAGTGAGACCCTAATCTTTAGACAAAATAGTACATTTCATATTTAATTTAAAAGCACCAATGCATTATTTAATAAAACATTGCTGTCTCCAGTGTAGTATTCTGATTATAAGTCAGCCCTGTACTTTAAGGTTCAATTTTAGCAAATAATGGTTTTCTCCAAAAATATAAGATATGAATAACAGATAAAGTCTGTGAACTCCTATTGTTCTTACAAAATATCACAGGGGAATCAAATGACCAAGGAAAAGATTGAAAGGCTTAAGTACACTCGGATAAAAACTATGCTGAAAATTTCTCATCTAGTATTTTATTGCATGTATAAAAATACTGAGAGTAAAAAAATCAAGACTGTAGCCAATTATAAGCTGTCCCTGCATACAGGTCAAGTGTGATTATTATTATTATTATTTTCTTATGAGTCTTCTGGAGGGGAAAGAGAGGTTACCATATAATCAAAAAATACGCTTACTTTTTTTTCTCGTACAAGCATTTGTGCTTTGTTGAGTTTGGACTTATCTGATACCTTAGCAAAAGAAATAGTTTTCCAGTTTTTTGCCAAATGTTCAGTAGGCCAAAAAAGTATGAATAAATTCTCGTCTCTTAAAGATTATGTAAAATTGTATATGAATGTTTAATAGACCTTGCTCGGTTTTCTGAGTAGAAAAGGATTTGTCACAAACCAATAATTGATATTGCTTTTTATTGGCATTTTGCTTTGTGTGTATAACTTATTTCTTTCATTACAGAATGACGTTAGAGTCAAGTTTGAACATCGAGGTGAAAAAAGGTAAGACAGGAAAAGATTTTAATACATTTCTTTCACAAGTTTATACTGGTAACCTGTCCTTATTGGCCTACGTATAAAATCTGTCAGTTCAGGTTCTTTCATGCTAATCTCACTGTAATGTGTGGTCACTTCTTAGTACCTAGAAAAATAGGAATATTCTTGATGGCTGTTAACAGGATACACACTTTGTCCAAAACTGTGCATGCGCTTTCTCTCATTCTTAGGGTATAAACAGCTGTCATGTTTGGAAAGGATCAGCTATGGGTGGGATGTGTCCTGGCACAGCTGATCTCTTTCATTGAGGTCAACAGACATTGCCAGAGCCATTGTCGTGCAGGGGTTTGATCCTGTGGAACAGTAACCATAGGATTAGGTCCCTGAAGCCCCAGGAGCACCTGCCAGGGTCAGTTGGAGCCATAAGTTGAACAGAAATCAGCCATGAAAAGGCAGCACCAGCCATTATTAGGAATCAACATGCTCCCAGATTTGGGCACGTGTGGCATAGGTAAAAGCTACAGTGTCTGATTACCCGGGTTTTGTGCCACCATTTACATTTTTATGGTGGCACAAAAGCAATGTTTGTTGCAGTCTTATGGAAGAGTAAATTGTAGCAGTTCAGCTTAATCCATTTCCAAAATTATGACAGACCATACACAGTGGCTCTTGGGCAGAGTAAGTATGTGTATATGTAGGGAGCTATTGTGGCATAGCATTTCTCATTTATCCCATCATGAAGATAAGTTCTGGTTCTGTTTCAGACCTGCCAAAAGTGATTTGGAGCTGAATGCCTTGGGGGCACTGGGCAGCCCAAGCCCAGTGTGCAGGGTGAGCTCTGTTCTTGGAACATGTAGCTCCAACAATACAGTGATGGAGCAATGCAACAAAAGTATTTTGCAACGTATTAGTGCTTTTACCCTTTTGTGAAAGAGTCGGGTAGAAAGGAGAAGCAGTAGTTCTTCTTGAATTCCAATTATTGAAAGTGGCGTTCAAAAGTGATGAACAAGGTCTTCCAGCAGGCAAGGTCAAAGGTTCCAAACTTGCTGAATGAACAGTTAATTACCATGAGAAAGGAGAGAAATGTTCCTTTTTGTAACTCAGAAATGACCTAGTGTCTGTCCTTTTCTGACTGAGTAAAATCATATTCTTATTGCTTTGTTGGTTAGTGAACACACAGATAAAAGGGACCATTAGCTGTTGATAATTTTCTAGTGTAACACCCATAACATATAACCAAAATTTCTCCTCTGTGTGGTTCGAGTCTGCATCAGTAACTTAGACGACAGATGAAGAAGTTTGTTCTATTACCTGTCTGCCCAAATAGTTTAATTGCTCCTATTCAGGATAATTGAGATAATTTTCTATTATAGAAGTTCAGCAAGTTTAGGCCTATTTTGTATTTTCTGGTTTAGGTAGAATTCAGGTGGCAGAAAATCTTTTGGTTGGTGGCTCACAGTTGCAAGAATTGTTAAGGGGGGGCGGGCTATTCTTGAAGGAATGCTGTCAATGCTGATGCATGTAACAATGTAATACACTATATTTCTTAAATCCAAGATGAGAGGGTTTTTCCCCTCCATTTAACATGGGAGGGGGGGGGGGGGGGGTTGGTATAAAGCTCCTCATCTTGCATTCAAGTACAGGTTGGTAGGGCTGGGGTAGAGAGGTAGCTGCTGCAGATCCAACTCGGGCCCTGACTCAGTGTTGGCGTTGGAACCACAGCTGCTGCCCACTCCTGCTGTCCTGCCTCCCCAGCCTCTGCCTCGTTGCCTTCTCCCCTTCCACCTCTTACTGTCCTGCTCTGGCAGGCCTCTGGCCCCACTGCAGCCCAGGATCCAAAGCTGGCAGTTGCTTTGGGGTAGAGAGGTAGCTGCTGCAGATCCAACTCGGGCCCTGACTCAGTGTTGGCGTTGGAACCACAGCTGCTGCCCACTCCTGCTGTCCTGCCTCCCCAGCCTCTGCCTCGTTGCCTTCTCCCCTTCCACCTCTTACTGTCCTGCTCTGGCAGGCCTCTGGCCCCACTGCAGCCCAGGATCCAAAGCTGGCAGTTGCTT